GGGCTGCACCCGAGAGCTGCAGCAGCCGGGAGGAGGCGGGGCTGCACAAATGCAGCGGAAGCGCAGCAGTTTCTGTGCAGCACAGCGCTCCAAGTAGAACAGGAGATAACCAGATATTCTGCTTGTGCCCTCACTGCCCTGGGCCCCTTAGAGATCATGGGCCCCTGGGCAGTTGCCCATATGGTTAATCTGGCCTTGGGTCATATAATTCAGTTTGGTTTAACAAATCTGAAAATAAATGTCCTTTCTAAAAACGTTGTAGTAAAATTCGCCTGCTAGCAACAGTACCTCAAATGTTTTTATTTGCCAAAAAATAAAATAAGTTAATGAGTATTTCGGCCTTAAATTGACTGTTTTTATTTGAAGAGGTTTCCCGTGAAATTTAGAATGCGCGCGCATTCCAGGAAGCTGATCTGTTCTGGCGGGGCGCATTCTTTAGCACGACACCGGATGTTACGTAGCAGAAGGTGGGCGCAGCCTCCGAACGTGGCCAACGGGGCTGCAGCGGAGCGGCTTCACTGGGAGCCTGTCAAACACGAGCAGCACGGCCGACATGGCGGACTGGGGTAAGAACTTTAGTCGGGCAGGACATCGTCCGCTCTGAGGACGGCTTGGTTCGGGAAAGCCGAGCGCTCCGCTGTTAGACGCTGTGTGTAGATGTGGAGAGGCCTAACGGACGCCATGTTGTTGCTCTTCCAGACGCTGACAACTTCGAGCCGGAGGAGCCGATTAAAAAGGCGGCAGCGATGGACAAATGGGAAGGCGAAGACGAAGATGAAGACGTTAAGGTAATTTGGTGTAATGGCTGTGAGGGACCTGATCACAGGTGGATGGAGAGTTTCCGAGCGGGTAGACAGATGATGGGGCTCTTCCGCCCTGCGGCTTAGCTTCGTGCTAGTTGACGCTAACTCATGCGGCTCAACCCGACAGCCTGCTTCAGCCTGCCGGAGGCCGCTGTTCGCGTTTCTGCGTGTAGGCACCGCGTCAGGTGTTGACATGCCTTCTTGCACTTCTACATTTAATGTCGTTATCGTTTCGTTCTGACAGAGTTCCTGTTGACACAGAAACCGAGTGGTTTTAATGGCGTGTCTGTGAGCTAACAGCTAGCTAGCTCCCACCAGGCGCGCGACTCAAGTCCGTTTTAAACGTGAGCTTTAACTTTGGGACAACTTGGATAAAACACGGTTTTGTTTTGTGGCCAGACCAAACGGCAGTCGTCTTTAAGTTGTCATTTTTTAAAAACATTTCTTTAAAAAGGGTTAGGAGCGTAGGTGCATGAGTCACGTTGAGCATGCGGCGGCGTTAGCTGCTTTAGCCTCAGGTGATGAACTCATCAGGGGCCAGAACTGGGCCCACTGCTGTTGTTGCTTTGTGACGGTGGTGTTCGTGCAGGACCAGCTGTCACTTGAACACCACAGCAGGTCGTCAGTGATGAATGCTTGACCTGTGGAAAGTGCTGACGAAGTGCTGGTGCCCAAACAACGGGTCCTGCTGTTCAAGTAGGAAGAAGCATCTGGATCCATGTGTGTGAAACTTGTTGTTTGGACTTGTAATAAACCAAACGACGTTTGTAACTTTTCAGTTTAGATTAGGATTAAAAACAACATGCGCAGTAGGAAAGGTCTTATAATAAGGTCTCTACAGCTCTTTGTGTAATACATTTACGATGCCTAAAATGTTCTGAAATTTGAAACTGCTGTTTTAATGAATAAACTTTTACGGTGGATATGTGTGCCAGATATGTGTCCGTCTTTTTTCTTAATTGAAAAGAACATTTCTAACATTTCAGATAACCCACAATAGTTTTCCAAGAAAAAGTTACATCGTCTCGTTCGGGTTGTGTCGTGCTGGAATAGATTTTATTTCATTACGAAAAACTCACATTTTAAATGACAAAAAATCTTAGATGAGATGAGCGTCATAAAAAAACACTGAGCGTTTTAGACATTTGCAGTGACTGGGATGTGAACGTTGGAGAACGGCTCGACTCACAGTTGCAGTCTTTGAGTTTTTAATTTGTTAAAATAAAAACTTGATACAACTTTTTTCCTCAAATTACAGTTTTTCTGCCGCGTCGCTGCTGGCACTAGATCTGTTGTTTTTTTACACCTGCACAGAAGCTTTCCTCTGAAAACATTTTCAGAATATCTGGGTCTAAAAAGCCACTCAGACAACAAATAATTATTATATACACTATAGATATTATGTTATAAATAATTATCTGAACTGGTCTGACGCCGTCTTTCCTCGAGTGTACTCCAGTAGATAAACTTGTAACTGTTGGGGCGGCTGCCAAGTTGATACAAAGGAAGTATTTGCAACAAAGTGGACCACAGTACTGTAGTTTCCTAAAATTAGCCAGTCGACAGCTGCTCGTCTCGCTGGTCCCAAACTTTACAGCCGTGTTCTTATTGTTCATGATGGTCAGCGTTCAGCTCCACCATCCACAGTTTCTCACACCACTTCAACATTGTGCTGACAAGCTGCTTTTTTAGCAGCTCATGCAGAAGAAACATGTTTTTTGTTAACCAGGCTCAACGATAATTAAATATATGATATAATAAATGTGGGTACTGGTGATTCTCCTCATGTAGTATTTGTTTAAAGTCATTCTTCAGGTTTTCGTTGTCAACAGTTTTGTCTTCATGGGCGGTCACATCCAGAAACCTCTGAACTGGACCAAATGATGAATTTTATATCACTCAAGTTTCACAAAAGTTAAAACTATTAAGTTAAATTGAGCTTAAATCTGCGTTTAAAAAAAAGACTACAAATAGCCTTTTGTGGAAATATGTCTTAACATTTTTTAACCTTTTGATTCTGCCTTCATGATGCAGTATTTTATATTTTTAAGGAAACAACAAATATTAGAGAATGGCTGGCTTTTAAATAATTTTCGTAAAATGGCAACTGACACTTGTGTAATTTACAGGATAACTGGGATGATGATGAGGAAGAGAAAGAGGCAAAAATAGAAGCAAAGAAAATGGGTACGTTTGTTTTTAAGCCTTCAAAAAAACCTGTTCTGTGTTCAAGCTGTCTCCTTTCTCTGTTAAATTAATTTGCATTCCATAATTTAAACTTTTTAGAGACGAAAGTCTCTGAAAAGAAAAGATTAAGTGAAAAGATCAAAGAGAAAGAAAACCAGTTAAAGAAGAAACAGGAGGAGCTGAAAATGGAGCTGGAGGCCAACGTGAGTGTTTTGGACTGTTGTTGTCCACGGAGCTGCCGTCCACAGCTTCACTCATTATTCCGCCTTGTGTCGTTCCAGCAAGAAGAGCTCGCACCTGAAGAACTACTTGCAGAGAAGTTAAGAGTGAAGAAATTACAAGAAGATGCAGATTTGGAACTTGCAAAAGATGCTTTTGGTAAGCTTGGCTCCGATTGTTGAATTTCCCTCGTTGCTCTTCTCTGATGGTAGTTTGAGGTTGATACCTGTTGGTACAGGCACAAGTACCTTAACCCTGCGATACAACGTCTTATTCTTCGTGCACTTTTCATCCAGGTGTCAGCACTGTCACGGGTATCGATGCCATGTGTCCATCTTCCAAAGAAGAATTCACAGAGTTTGAAAACTTGCTGAAAGAAAAGATAACCCAGTTTGAAAAATCTGTCCATTATTCAAGTTTCTTGGATTCGTTGTTTCGAGAACTTTGTATTTCATGTAAGACAGTAACTTTTGCTTTATTTATTTCATTTTATCATTAGTTACACTGGATTTGAGTCCAAGCCGACTTGATGAATAATAATAATTTTATTTTTTACAGTGGAAGTAGAGGACTTGAAAAAAATCAGTGGTTCCCTTTCTGTCCTACTTAGTGAAAAACAAAAACAAGAAAAGGTGAGTTGGTTCTTTTAATACAGTAGGGGGTGCTCTTAATCTACTACAGCTGGTCACTAAAGGCTTCATCTTTAGTCCTTAATTTACCTTTTGCGCTTGGTGTATATTAGTTACACCATTAATACTTTATCTAAATGTTAAATGCCTGTTTTTTCCTGTGACTTTAGCAACAAAACAAAGGAAAGAAGAAGAAGAAAGGAATCTTGCCCGGTGGTGGATTGAAAGCACAGATGAGAGATGACCTTGACTATGCACAGTTTGATGGTGGTTACGCCCAAGACTATGAGGACTTCATGTGACACTGGTTCCATCACCGCCTCCTCGTGCTGTCCAGTGCCACCCTGGAACGTCTGAACTGTGTTGCCCCTTTCATTTTGCTTCAGTGACCAGAGGGACTATACCAGGAAGCATCTCGTCTCAACGCTCTGTCCTAACATTAAGAATTGCCTTTTCTGTCGACTCACACACAATCGTGGAATCTGTTGCTTCACTGGAGGACACATCGCACCAGCTGCTGTCTGACTCTTGCAGGGCGCTTTTATTCAATCGATGCTCCTGTTCTCATACCAGATATTCACTATGGCAGTTTAAGTATAGTGACATAGAAACAAGGTTCTATGCAAACTTTCAGACCAGAATGTCGTGTATTATAGGTTGTACTTACTGCTGTTGGGTCTTTTACAGAAACAAATGTAAATATCTTTAACTTTGGTTGTCAAATGCAGAACAATAATTCAGTACAATATCAAGTTTAGTCTCTGGAGCAGTGGGTAACTTGAGACGGGTGCAACATGTAATTAGTACAGATTTTATCAAGAGAACATGACATTCACTGTAAGGAAAAAGGCAGAGTTCAAGAAATGGGACTTTAAAGCTCCACAGCCATTCTTTATCTTGATCCATCTCTGGAATATCCTTGAAAATATAAAGCAGAAATTTAGCTTACTAGTTTGATTTGTACTAATTCAGGAAAAGCATGCAGATCAGGCAAGTGGGGACATCTTGCCACAGCTGGTCGGATTAATATTTGCTTCTGCGGGCTTGTATCAAGTGTGATGAGGAGCGGGGGCCTTTGGGCTTCACCCCACCATGTCTTCATATGGGCCACAGGGACCGTAGTTGAAAGGGACACGTTTCTCCTTTTTTCCTTTTCTAGCTATTGACCAGTTCCACAAGTCATCAAATATATCCAGTTTTGAAGATACAGCATCTGTTTTTTTAAGCATCTAATTTAATAAATCACTGGTCAAAAGAACAAGTTGTGTTTTAGTGTTTGTTAGACGTGTTTGAAAACGAGCACGATCGCTGTAGATCTTTTCTGAAAATGCAAAGTTTGAAGTCTAAAGGAAATGTCCAGTACAAGGTAAAAAAGCAGGTTTCTTTATTATAAAATATTAACACGACAACTTATTCAACTTTTCAACTGAGTTTTAGTTGACTTAACTTCGCCATAAAACATTACACATGACAGTTGTAGATTATTTATGGGGGGGGGGCAGAAACAAACAACCATGCACTTTACTCACAATGAGCTCATCCTTTTCATTTAGGGATAAATCCTTAAAAATGTTCCTGTTAACTGCTAATCTTTCGTATTTTATGTCATTTGTAAAAATGTTTTTTAAAGTCAAACTAATCCAGGCTTTCAGATGAGTTGGGTTTCTGGCACTAGTTGCCATGGCGATCCACCCAGGTGAAAGGTGAACAAAGTCGATGGTACTGAAAACCCAGAACAGTGAACGCACCAACAGTTCCTCAGCACATGAACATTCATGAAGTCATCCAACCAACCGAGGAATATTCTGCTTACTGAAAGTTTAGCATTAAAAGATGATGCAAAATTCACAAGGTGCAAAACTAATCAAATGTTTTGGATAATCTTTGGGGGTGGGCGGGGCGGACAACTTTAAATTGCTCCCTTCTTGAATGACGTTTGAATAAATGAAACGTACATTGATCTACACTTCAGTAACTGGGAAGATGCTGGATATGCTTGGAAAACATCTGCATGCATGACTTTCAATATCACTTGAGTATTTACAGGTGCTGGTCATACAATTAGAATATCATGAAAAATATTTCAGTAATTCAATTCAAAAGTGAAACTTGGATATTAGATTCATTACACACAGACTGATATATTTCAAATGTTCATTTATTTTAATTTTGATGATTATAACTGACAACTAATGAAAACACCAAATTTAGTATCTCAGTAAAATTAGAATATTGTGAAATGGTTCAGTATTGAAGACATCTGGTGCCACAGTCTAATCAGCTAATTAACTCAAAGCACCTACAAAGGCCTTTAAATGGTCTCAGTCTAGTTCTGTAGCTACACAATCATGGGGAAGATTGCTGCCTTGACAGGTGTCCAAAATGTCATTGCTAAAGAGGCTGGCTGTTCACAGAGCTCTGTGTCCAAGCACATTAATAGAGAGGTGAAGGAAAGGAAATGATGTGACAGAAAGAAGTGTACAAGCAATAGGGATAACTGCACCCTGGAGAGGACTGTGAAACAAAACCCATTCCAAAATGAGGGGGAGATTCATAAAGAGTGGATTGCAGCTGGAGTCGGTGCTTCAAGAACCACCACGCACAGACGTATGCAGGACATGGGCTTCAGCTGTCACATTCCTTGTGTCAAGCCACTCTTGACAAGAGACAGTGTCAGAAGCATCTCGCCTGGGACTGCTGCTGAGTGGTCCAAAGTTATGTTCTCTGACAAAAATAAATTTAGCATTTTCTTAGGAAATCAAGGTCCCAGAGTCTGGAGGAAGAGGAGAGGCACAGAATCCACGTTGCTTCAGGTCCAGTTTCAAGTTTCCACAATCAGTGATGGTTTGGGGCCATGTCATCTGCTGGTGTTGGTCCACTGTGTTTCTGAGGTCCAAGGTCAACACAGCATCTACCAGGAAGTTTGAGACTTCCTGCTTCCTGCTGCTGACCAACTTTATGGAGATGCGGATTTCATTTCCCAACAGGACTTGGCACCTGCACACAGTGCCAAAGATACCAGTACCTGGTTTAAGGACCATGGTATCCTTGTTCTTAATTGGCCAGCAAACTCTCCTGACCTTAACCCCATAGAAGATCTATGGAGTATTGTGAAGAGGAAGATGTGATGCACCAGAGCCAACAATTGAGAAGAGCTGAAGGCCACGATCAGAACAACCTGGGCTCTCAGAACACCTGAGCAGTTCCACAGACTGATCCAGTCCGTGCCACGATGCACTGCTGCAGTAATCCAGACAACAGGAGCAACAACGAAGTACTGATGCTAAACATGTTCATACTTTTCATGTTCATAGTTTTCAGTTGGCCAACGTTTCTAAAAATCTTTTTTTAATTGGTCTTGATTAATTTTCTGAGATACTGTATTTGGTGTTTTCATTAGTTGTCGGTTATAATCATCAACATTAAAATAAATAAACGTTTGAAATATATCAGTCTGTGTGTAATGAATGAATATAATCTACAAGTTTCACTTTTTGAATGGAATTACTGAAATAAATCAACTTTTTCATGATATTCTAATTTTATGACCAGCACCTGTATTTATGTGGGCGGCTGTGGTTGAGTGGTTATAGCAGTCGTCTGCCAGTGGGAGAGTTTGGGGGTTCGACTCCACCAGCAGTCACATGTTGAAGTGTCCCTGGGCAAGACACCAAACCTCTCGTTTCCTCCGGTGTGTGTCCCATCAGTGTATGAATGTGATACAGCTCTGATTATTCTTTGTAAACACAGAGCTGTATGAATGGGTAAATGAGGCTCAGGTTGTGTTGTAAAGAGCTTTGAGTCTTGATAAGGTGGAGAAGCTCTAGATAAGTGTAGTCCATTTACCTTTATGTGACAGATGCAACAAGGTAATTTCTGCTCGGTCAAATGAAGCCAGGTTGAACGACTTCACAGCACGGATTGAAAATGATCCGAGCAAACGAGCTTCAACATATTTTAGCTGAGCCACTCACATGGTCACAACCAAATTAAACAGTCTCCACCTGATAAGTTCACATTTAATAGAAAAGCACCTGCAGAAAGTTCTGGCAAACCACCATAAGGGAGGCCACTCATTTTTTTAAAGCTTTCAGGTTTTCATGTGGCCATGCCTTCAAAGTATTCTTCATTAAAAAAAAAACCACATCAAATTTTAAGATATAATAGTTTTTTGTTGTTGTTGTTGCTTCAATTTAAAACTGATAACCTTCAGAAAAATTTGTATAATTTGACACATAAATCAGTTTCTAAGTCTCTGGAATGTTACATAGGAAAATTGCCCCAGTGTCCAATTATTTCCAGATTGAACCACATGTTCTAATGGTGTCGAGCCTTTAACTGGGGTGTTTAGCTTCAGACTTGTGTTTGCCTTCCTCAAGGATTTCTGGTGCTGCGTTTACGGCTGCTGCGGGACGTGTTGGCCCTCTGCCGGCGCCTAGTCTTTCTGCTCTCTCCCCTTGCAACACTTGTGACTATCTGACTTTGAGAACTTTGAAGAGCTTGAAAGACACTCTGGCGTGTCACTTCACGGTCCCCACAAGTAAAAGTCAGAGCTACACCCTCACTGGTCTTCATGACCCTAGATGTGCCATCAGAGGTGCCATCAAAGCAGCGCCCAAGAGCAATCTCCTTTGCAGTTCGGGGATCTTGTTCTGTCTCCGTATAGATTCCATAGTTATGGCCCAGAGGGTCAAGAGGTGCAAGCATGGTGAACTCATTGGTGTCATTATTGACGGCCAGAGGCAGGTGGTTTACTAGATAATCCTGAAGCATTGTGTTTACGTTGTCTCTCCTACAACTTCCCTGAGGGATCACTTTCACCAGGGTACGATCTACACGATCCTGATCGTACAGCATCCCACTGCACTTGAACTCCAGGCACACAGCTGAAATGGTTGCATGATCCATGTCACGGATGCTGCGAGTGTCTCTAAGGCCATAAAGCTGGCCTACAGTCTTTGGATGGGTGCCACCCATGTTGCGAGAGCGAACATTAATTTCATATGGGCTTTTAATCTTGATCTTGATGTAGCAGGCCCTATATTCCATAGGTTTGGGCCACCAACTCAGGTAATTCTCTGTCCAGCTCATTGAGTTATCTTCATTGAATGGCACCGTGTTATAATCGTAACCGTCTCCTTCAACTCGTGAAAACCGGAAGTGAGCTGCACTGAATGGGGCCTCCTCACATTTTTTCAAATTCTCAAATGCGTACACTGGCCCATTTGCTTCCTCTGCTACATTGGGACTTGGTTTTGCCACATTGATACTGAAAGCAGTCTTTTTCACTTGGGAGTCCTCATGGTCAGTCCGCCTGTAGTTGAGTTTTCCCAGGTAAGGCTGTGGTACTCCAATAAGACTTGGATTGAGTTTGGGAGCAGACGAGACAGCCTCCAGTTCCTCCCCTCCAAGGTTGGCCATTACATATGCAATATAGGCATCAGGCTTTTGATCATCGCAAAAGGCAGGAAGACAGGCTCCACTTGGGCCAGTGACAACACTATCAAATCGACCCCAGGCACGTGGATTTGAGGAGAAACCAGCCGTTGGTTCCATGTTTATGAGGCTCACTACAACTCCCTCTACCTGTTGGCTGTTTATAAAGCGTTCACTTCGAAAAGCTCTCACTTTCACATAACACCTGCGGTTCTCTGGCACGTCCAGGTTAAACAAACGTCTCTCTCTGATCTCCATATTTCCAATCAGAAATGTTCTCTCTTCTCGTTTGCCTCTTTTTTTCTTCTCCAGATGCAGACTTCCTTCCTCCTCCCACAAGCCGGTTTCAGGGTTCAATGACCATAGCTTCATGGTGTTGAGGTGCTCAGACATCTTCACCTGAGCAGAATCCAGGAACACCTTTACCTCACCTGCATTAAGGGGTTCATTGTTTTCCTCACCTCTAAAATCAACTGAAAACATGCCATAGGTTCTCAGTGGCAGGACATCGCCTTCATCTCCTATGAAATTGAGATCACTTGGAGCAGCAGCAGCTGTGGAGACATCTCTGGGGTCTAGAAATGTAACACTTGCATTGACGTTACCAGTGAATACTTCTCCATTTTCCTTATAAAAAGAATAGGGGGGAATCTGGATCTGGACCATTGCCTCCTGGCCTCCTTCATCTCCAAGCTCCAATGTGTTGGTTTCCAAGGGATTGATGGTCACTGGAACTTTTTTTCGTAGAAGTTTGATCTCGTGATAAACAGCCCCGCCTTTAGCGTTAAATGGAAGTACCTTTGTAGTGTTGACAAATTTTTGCATGTTGTCTACAAAAGTTAGCACCAGCCTTTCAGCGTCTTTGGGAACCTGAATGGAGAAGGTGCCTTTGTAGCCTGTGCGGCTGATTCTGACTCCATTCATGAAGATATGACCAAACCTCATTGGCTCACCGTTGTCTGCAGCGATAGCTCTGCCGTGTACAATGGCCTTGGTGTCCACACATTTCTGACAGCCACACTCTGTCACCACCATGGTGGGCAGCTGGTAGCCCTGGCACATTAGCTGCCTCTTCTCCATCTTTGCCACACCACAGCAGTAAGCCACTTTGTCTTTGCACCTGATGCCATTGTCCAGCTGTCCAGCACATGCACTCAAGGGGCATTTGCCCACGTTGTGGTAGAAGGAGTTTGTGCTGTTTTGGTAGCAGTCGTGGGGAAGACGGATGAGGTGAGATTTAGGCTCTGGGTGACACGTGTGCTGCTCGTCTCTACCTGTGATTGAAATGTGTGAATAAAATGGCATTAATATATTATGACATATTTCGTTGCTGGTTGCTTGATTACTTTAAAAGGAACACACCTATGATCCTGAGAACAGCTGGTTTAGTCTTAACAGCTCCAGATGGACCACTTGCTCTGCAGTAGTACTCCCCTGCCTGCTCAGACCGTAAATCTTTTAGGACCAATGTGCTTTCAGAATGGATTTCCATAAGACTGTTGTTATGAAACCTGTTGGTTCACATACAAGAAGAAACGAGCAAATGTTCATACAAAGCGATATAAAGACGTGGCACTCTTTAGAGTCAAAACATGCTGTCTGAATTCAGCTCTTACCACTGATACTTGTCAGGCTCCGGAGTTCCAGCCACCTTGCAGCAGAAAGCAGTACTTTGTCCTTCCCTCCTGACCTTGCTCTCAGGGTTGCTTATGACATGAAGCTTTTCTAAAAGTAGATAAGAGATGTTAAAAAGGTGTTTTTCCCCTGCAAACTCAATATCCGTTAATATCATTTTAATTTTTTTAATTTGTTTTAGTTCAAATTGACTTTACCGGCTCTTTTCAGCTGCACACTGAGAACTGAGGTGCGCTCAGCGCTGATGGGCACGACCACGTTGAGGGCGGCATGACCCTGCAAGCTGACTGTTAATGTTGTGTTGCCGTCAGGGCAGACGCCAAGGATGCGGAAATGGCCGTTGTGGTCTGTTATAGTAAGGAGTTTGCCCGAGCGAAGGATGGCAGCCCCCTCAGCAATCAGACCTCCAGCTCTGCGCACGGAACCCAAAAGGATGTGCTCGTCACACATGCAAGCATCGCAGTCAGCATTCACTCTCCCCATCACACAGTGCAAGGAACAGTCTAAATATTGAAGGAAACACAAGGTGGAGGGTCAGGTCCAGTTTCTTTATTTCACAAGGTCATGCTCCTGACTCTAGAGAACTGATCTTTGGCTACAACAGTTTGCTCACCGGTCTGTTTGCACTCTGGCCCGTTGCAAGGTTTCCCTTCTAGTTTAGACCCACTGCAAGACGCCGATTGAGACTGGCAGCTTCGATAGCGAAGCTGCACACCCACTTGACCACAGAGGGCAGGACATGGGCTCCAGCCTGACCACAGAGCCCAGGTTACCTGAACGTCCGAACCTGTCTCTGCTGGGACACAAAACAATCCGTTTTTAAAAACATTGTTCAGAAGAAATCGATATTCTTTGCAAGTATTTGATGTCTTACAGCACAGTAAAGTCTAATCTAATTTGAAAGCAGAGTCCACACTTGGTATACAAAATGGATGGATGGATACTTTATTGATCCCAGGGGGAAAATTTGAGAAATGATAACATCCATCCATTATCTTTTACTCGCTTCTTCCATTTTGGGTCGCCGGTGCCCATGTCCGGCAATCACTGTGCAAGGGGCTGGGTACACCCTGGACGGGTCGCAAGTCCATCACAGGGCCATGATGATAATAAATAAATAATAATAAATACAGTATATATAAAAAGTTAGTTTTTATCCAAACCTTTAGGACAAAGAAAACGAACTGCGTAATTAGAGCAGATGTGTCCAGGACTTTGCTCAGCATTGAGGCACCAGAATCCCACCGTTGGGTCTGCGTGGACCACTTCCCCCGTTTCTCGAGCTGAGACCCATTCTGTGGTTCTGGCTTCGACTGCTCTTGGGCTCTCACACACTCGGGTGCGGTAATAGAAACGAATGGCATCCAGCTGTTCGTAGTCTCCACGGCCTCCAGGGTGGTCTACATTGTACCACGAGGTCCACTCGTAATCGTCTAGACATGAAGTTTACACAATCAAACAAGATCTAAATATTCGTTCAACATATCGTCTGTAACTAATAATACATTTAAGTTTAAAGTTTTTGAACATGAAACTTGCCATTAGAAAGATGGACGACAGGAGCAGGCTCGTTGTCGCCACCTCTGAATGATCCTACAGCAAACACAACACATCAGTTCAAATACTCCGAGCTGCCGTCGTGTGTTTGTGCCTCACCAACAGGTTGCTATTACAAAAGCAACATTTTTAATTTAAGCAAATCTGAAGTTAAGAGAGACACAGCAAACATGTTTGTGCCACACGGCGATTCAGAATATGAGAGATGACTGTTCACAAACATCATGAACCGCTTGCAGCAGTGAGGAGGTCGGGATTTATTAGCTAAAAAACAATAATTACAAGATGACATGGACTAAACAGAGGCAGTAAAATAATGTCATTGTTTTTGAATTATGCTTCAAACAGACTGGATGATCATTTTCTTCAAGAAGTTTTTCAAAATCTCTGTTTTCCCTGACCTTCATCAGCGTCTGCACGTGGACCAAAGAATCTTGACCCTGGGACACAATATGTGAGGAAATGCATCTGTGATGACAAGTAACCGTTAACGTGGTGAAATGTGAAGGCTGTGCTGTTTAAAGTCGAGTGTGACATCTGAGTCACTTTTACTACGAAGCAGAAAAACACTTCATTGAGCTAAACGTGCACGAGTACACGAACGAGTTCTATTCCACAATCAACATTCTCATGCATTAATCATCCCAGAAGTAAACAAGTATCCATCCATCCATCCATCCATCCATCCATCCATCCATCCATCCATCCATC